CCCCACGTGCAGCGCCCCCACCAATGGGCGCACCGCGCGCGCGGACCCGGATCAGGAAACGCGCGGGTGCGTGATGGATGCTGCTGTCCTGTCCCTGGGCTGGGGGAGGGAGCAGGAGCTTTGGACCCCAGCCCCCCAACTTTGGTTCCCCCTGGGAATTCGGGCCCTGTCAGGCTGTAGGTCCTCTTGGGAGCCCTCTGCTTGCCCTACTGCTGGCTTAGGCCTCGGGCAGTCTGGCAGCCGCGACTCAGCGCTGACCTCGGGCGCAACCCAGTCAGGCTTCGCGTCCTTCAGGGGTTCTAGGCTAACGGGGGAAAGGAGGGCGTTGGGACCAAGGGGCATCCTGGCTTTTATGTACGCCCCTGAGAGGCCACCAGACACATTCTCCCAACCGCAGATCCCCCTTCCCCACACCCTGCTCCTTGCGTGTCGGCCTGAGAGCCCTTGTTTTGAGAAGCTTGGCAGAAGCTGCAAAGGGTGGGTGGGCAGCTAAGAGAAATCGACCCAAGGATGTAAAGCGAGGCCATTCCATTATAACTGGATGGACGCTTTTCATTTTTTCCTTCTTTCAGAGACAATCTGTTTCGCGTTTTCCTAAGAAAAATTGGAACCTTCGTAATAGCATCTAATTTGATGGGGTTGTCGATGTGAGAGCTAAATATGCCCGCGATTGCAAGGTGCGATTGTGAGAGAGAAGGTGGCCCAAGGATGGGAATGGATAGAGGCAATACCTCCACAGAACCGAGCTTTGAAAACAATAACTTCCTATTTCAGAACAATCCCCAAACAAAAACAAGCTAAGGTTAGAATAAACGCCTTGCCGGTCTGATTGCTGATGGGTCTTTTCCAGCTAAGAATTTCAAGTTTTCTCTTTTAGATCCTGCTTTCTCGGGCAGTATCTGAGACTAGAGTTATATTTACAGGACAGTCTATAATTTCTTAATTGCTGAAAATTAGCGTATTAACGATATCAGAAGCTCCGGAAAGGAGGGAGAGGAGACTGTTGCCTGCCATTTGGTAATTGAAATTTGATGGGTACACTAATTACGCCCTTATTAACAAATAAATTACTTATTCCACCTAATGTTGATCTTTGAAGTAAATACTTATGCCTTATTTGTACTGTGTACTTTCTCCCTTTCTTTTCTGAGTAAGAGACATATCTAGATCCTCTATTTTTCTGCCTAGATTAAAGCAGTGCAAACTAGCATAGTCACCATTCTAAAAATATTTTCATATTGGCATGCAAAAACAAGGATTTTTCAGCTGGTGCACCTTAGTTGATTTTTCAAAGAGCAGTATAAACAACCTTCTCACAACTGAGTCTGGAATGCAGACAAGGAAAATTATTTCCTAAGCCTGGAGACACTTCAAAAGGAATGTCAATTCTATCTTCATTCATATTGGTTACTCATAGGAGTTACTGAATGCTGGAATATATCCATTTGATGGATAGTCATTTAATGCTTAGCCACATAAAGCCTATTATATGGGACTAATCTTTAAACTAATTTAGGAAAAGAGGTTAAAAAGGGGATCATATTAGCTTTCTAACTGGAATCACCCTGAAGTGGTACAAAGAGATTTTCCATATTAGGTGTATGTGTGTGTGAAGAGTGCTGTCCATTCACATGAAGCACCCTGAAAATTTGTTTTTAATGAAATCTGAGCCACAGACAGAAATCAACACTGAGTGTAATCTTTAGCCATCCTCTCTAGACTGGAGGAAAAATTCAGCCTGTGATACATCTACCTGAACCAATATCTCTCCCTAGCAAGAAAAAATAATATATACAGAGGTTGTATACAATGTAATATAAATAATATATAGTTATATGTATTACAAATCTGAACCCTATAAGTTTCAGGGGGACAAAAAGCATGACAAGGAAATCTTCCCTCCTCATTTCATCAACCTTGAGTACCAGGGTCTTAACCATATCTGTTTAATATTTACAGACACTAAAACACAAAAATTCTGTTGTTTAGCCTCAGAACCTTGTACCAAGTTTCTATTTTTAAGTATTAATGAGACATAAGCACTGTTTTGTATATGGTTAACCCAAACGAGTTAGCTGTGCCTGTGTTTTGTGTGGTTCTATTACTTTAGGAAGATGGCCTTACACAGAATCCCTCAAGGCCTGTAACTTGTCTTTGTGGTTCGTATCATAAACACAAACGGAGCCAGGACCACCAAGTGTTATCTCACACACCGACATTTTGACATTTTACTGCAAGATTTATGGCTGTAATAAACAATCGCAGTACCTTTTCTGAACCTTCCTCAATCTCCCTTTGCAAACTGTAGCATCATTCCATCGAATCAAATAATCTTTTGAAAAACATTTTTTAAAATACCTCTTGCCTTTACACAATATCCAAGACACCAAAGTAAAGCCAGGAAGAAACTAACTCAATTAATAAACAAACTGAAGTTTACCAGCAGCATCTCGCCTGAGAAAAGATGGGATGCCCTGAAATGTAGCAGAGGGAGCATGCAAATCCTCGCACACCAACTGGCTCCAGTCCCAAGCGGGGTGGAAGCGTTATCCTTTCCTTAGGAAACTGGTGAGCACATTTGCTCATTTCCACGTGCAGGGGTAACATATTCCCAACAAAACCTTTCTTAAAATCCCATTAGGTGAAATAACTTTTCGTCATGTCCTCAAATCCCAGATGGAGAAGAGTGAAGGGAGTTGGAGGGAGAGGGAGGCTGAGAGGGAGGCAATGTTTTGCAGCTTGGTTTGAATCTGATTTGAATCATTTTGAATATATTTGTAACAGCCTTCTCTCTTGAATGCAATCCTGTCCCAAGTTTCAAAGTGACCGAACAGTGACACCGTGTGCATTTTGTTTCTTATTAATCTTACACATTGACAGTCTTTGTTAAATCACAAGGCGCGCCCTTCACCAGCCGACATTTTCATATTTGTTAGACGCACTGACCTGAAGTTCACCTCGGCCTTGGACTTTGCGCTTGTAAAAGGTCTATACAGTGTCTTTTAGCGAGCAGGGTGCTTTGCCCAGGTCACTCCTTCTCAGGAAAAACCAAGGGGAAAAGCCAAAGGAAATGTAAACGTTATGGAATGTATTGACTGTATTTGTCCTTTGTTCTTTAGAGCGAGAGTCCCCAGACTGTTCTCTCTCTGATGCGTGTTTCTGGAGCTGAACAGTGGAGTGGCAGAATTTCAAAATGCCTGATGGTGGCATTTGAAGGCTTCCCCCCACACCTACACTAGACACAAGATTTGAGAGGAACAACACTTTACCAGCCATTTGACCAATTAATAGTTTGGGGGTAATTTTCTTGTAGTAGTTTAAAATAATGCACACAACCCAGGGATGAGGACTGATATTCATATTGGGATTACACATGAATTTTAACTTGGATTGTTTGAGAGGCCTGAGGTTCAAAATCCTCCAAATAAAGAAGCAAGCACTCTAAAAGCAATAACTTCTGCGAGTACCCTTTTCTTTTACTTTGAAGTCTAACTAAGAGATATCTATGGTTTTTGAAGTTGACATGTTTCTAAGGTGTGTCACGTTTTTAACAAAAAACACAATAAAAAGGTTTTTCCCAAAGAGACACATAATTGTCTTGTTGACTCATCGAGGGGTTTCAGTTTTCTTCATTTCACTAGCCCAAATGTGGTGAAATGTTCACTGCTGCAACAGCAATCACCACAGTTGTTTCCTTTCTTCTGTTTCATCTGGCAAACCCCCATTTGGCTTCAAGCTCTTGGCCAGAGTGAAAACTTTACACGTTGCACAGAAGCACCCTGATTACTTCCATGAAGGCAGTGTTTGGGAAATATTTATTTAAAAACTGAACATACCTGGCACTGTTAAATCCAATCAACCAAGATATATTAGGATGATCTTAAACATTCCTTCAAGAGTCTACATTCTGAGTAGTTGAATTATCTCCAAAGTTAAAAAAGAAAAACCTAGGGAAAATATTTCACCTTTCTCTTCTCTGTTTTCCTATACTGATCCCTTGAAGGTCAATTCATACAAAAGAGAAATATGTCCTCTGGAAAATAGATTATTATAGCACCAACACTTAAAGCCATTCTAGATGGATGAAAAATAAAATATTGTTTAGCTCTTCAGTTGCAACTCACACATGAGGCATGGTTCCAGTCGGCTTCCTTAATACACTATTCCCTTTCTTTTCTGCTCTCCTACCCTTCTGCTTAGGTTGCTTTCTCTTCTCCTTGACTTTTTCTTCAATTCCACGTGTATTATTAAAAAGTACATTCTGAAGAATAGAAAATATTCTATTCTGCCCTGGTTGTCTTACACAGTGGCCTGGTATTT